TCTATGCAAAGAATAGAATAGAATCAGGAATAGAATAGAATAGAATAAGAAAGGAAAGGAAAGGAAAGGAAAGGAAAGGAAAGGAAAGGAATACAATACAATACAATACAATACAAAACAAAACAATACAATACAATACAATACAATACCAGAGTTGGAAGGGACCTTGGAGGTCTTCTAGTCCAACCCACTGCCTAGGCAGGAAACCCTACACCACTTCAGACAAAGGGTTATCCGATATCTTCTTTAAAACCTCCAGTGTTGGAGCATTTATAACTTCTGGAGGCAACTCATTCCACTGATTAATTGTTCCAACTGACAGGAAATGTCTCCTTAGTTCTAGGTTGCTTCTCTCCTTGATGAGTTTCCATCCGTTGCTGACCGTCGGGTGGGGAATAAAAAGAAATGCAAGTTAAGGACTGACTGGGAGGGGAGGGGCGGGCGGAGAGGGGCAGGGCGGGGCCAGCCAGGGACACGATTCGCCGATTCTCCAAACTGCGCAGAATCATAACAACCGTTTCTGTAGAACTGGTCCGAACAGGTAAAATCCCATCCCTGGTCTGAATTTTGATCACGTGGCCACGGGGATGCTGCAATGGTCGTAAGTGTGGAACATGATGATAAGTCACTTTTTTCCCCAGTGCCGTCGTGACTTTGAATGGTTACTAAGCAAGTTGTTGCATGTCAAGGACTCCCTGTAACTTTTGACACCCCTGTTTGATAACCTGGACTACTTTGGAGGGTTGACACCTGGAGAGTTAGAACAGGTAATGGAGAAACCTGGGCACTTGGCACCTGAAAACAGGATGATTGATAACTGGTTCCATCAACCTGTATAACCTGTCCTTTACACAGGTAAGCCCTCATTTCCCTCTTGGCCTGTTTCCTGTCTGAATTTTGATCACACAACTGTGGAGCCGCTGCAATGGTTATAATTGTGATAAAAGGTCATAAGTCACTTTTTTCAGTGGCCTTGTAACTTATAGAATAACAAGAGTTGGAAGGGACCTTGGAGGTCTTCTAGTCCAACCCCCTGCTTAGGCAGGAAACCTTATACCATTTCAGACAAATGGTTATCCAGTCTCTTCTTAAAAGTTTCCAGTGTTGGAGCATTTACAACTTCTGGAGGCAAGTTGTTCCACTGACTGATTGTTCTAACTGTCAGGAAATTTCTCCTTAATTCTGAGTTGGTTCTCTCCTTGGTTAATTTCCATCCATTGCTTCTTGTCCTGCCCTCTGGTGCTTTGGAGAAACACTCTCTTCTTTGTGGCAGCCCCTGAGATATTGGGTTACTAATAATTACTAATAATAATAGAAGTAAATTTCAATGATAACAATACGTTTCAACTTCCTGGTAACTTTACAAATAAATTGGATTTGTTTGTAAAGTCACCAGGAAGCCAAGTAAGATTTGAAAGAGGTTTTTGTCTATAAGAAAAAATACAAAACCAAACCCTGTAGATATTAGCTAATTTGCAAATTTTGCAAGCAGGCAAAACACCGAACTTGGAGAAGAAAGGGAATGAGCCAATATCTGGAATGAATTCCAGCCATGTAGTTTTTATTCACCATAAATGCCTCAGTTCAGTTACGTATCAAACAAAATTAGCATAAATATTCTGAACATGATTTTCAAACAGTGGTTACTTTCAGCCCTACCCTGATAGGGTATCCTGGGCTGATTCAAAAGGTACACAAACCCAGAATATTTCATCTATGAATAAATAACTTAATCTTCTTTTCGGTCGAAGTTCATAACTATAAGTAACAATTTTTTGTTTAATATTTCAAGACACAGTTTGCTGGTGAGAAAGTTCTTATGTTCACTTGGAGTAAGTTCAAAACCACAAAACTTTTTCTAGAAATGGCAACAGGTTGGTGGCTGCCCAAGAACATTCTCTGGAGCAGTTTTTGAGAAGGCTTTCTCGTCCATCAGTGGTTTTCGGGCAACAATACTGGAGCAAACCTATAAAATAAATATTAAAAAAAATGTTTGTCAGTGATTTCTCCCAGACAGCGTGATTTCTCCTAGCAGCAGAGACTGTTCAGGGATACCCAAGTTTCTTTATAAATAGCAAACCAGGGTGCAATGCTAGGTTTTATCTCCCTACCATGTTCATTCTTGATTAGTCTTCCCCTTGTTGGAAGAAAATATCCTTCTGGGTTCAATTCCAAGTGGGGAAGAAAGACACTGGAAACATGGAGGCCGTTTTGGAAAGATGGTTTAATAGTGGGCAGGACTACATGGCTTGTAGCTCCAAAGTGAAAAGGACGATCACATGCTTCAAGAAGTTGGGTGAAGGAAAAGAAGGGGCAAGATGGTGAGAGACCCTTAGTTTTATACCCTCTGTTGGGCCTCACCTTAGTGTTTCCTGCTCCTGTGTAAGAAATGTATCCCATTGGCTGTCAGACTCCCAGGGGCGAGGGTCTTAGCCAACTTTGTAGCCTTTCTCTGGACCGCATGGCTTCACCTGAGTGCTGGCCGATGCAATCTTCCCAGGCCAGGTGGTGAGATGGGTAGAGGTCTTTGTTATGTAGAATACTCTGGCCTAGGGCTTAATGGCCCATTAGCAAAGGTGGGGGTGGGTGGGCTGAGTTTCTGCCTCTTAGTTTCTACTTCTCTTTTTAGCGGAAATATTCTGGCTTTTTAGTGTATCCTAAAATATTTCATGTTCCTAGGAGAGGGGTGGGTTTTCATGTCCAACACCCTACATGTATTTGAAAGGAGGGTGCTGATCATTAGGGACTCAATCATTACTACATTTTTAGTGTGGGACAGTTAAATCATGGTTTGGTGTGATTTCTTGCCCGGTGGCAGGGGTCACACATCACAGGAAGCCCTGTATGGGCAACATGGTTAGGTTATATGGCCTTTATGATAACAGAGAAGGAAAAATAGGGCTCCTAAAAATAAATTTGAAGGCCCATCTCAAGACAGGAACACTTCCAGATATATAAAAGGAAACATCTTACCTCGGATTGCTTCCTAGTGCGTGTTTCTCCACCATTTAGCTCCGGTTGATGCGTTCCATAATTTCGTTGTATTTGGCGGTGACGGCTTGGGCTCTTTGAGTCAAATGATGGAGGACACAGTACAGACTGGACAAGTGATAATAAAAGATATCTTCCAGGCTGTCCGTCTCCATGTTCTCCTTCAGCTGAGGTACCGCAGGTAGCTTCTCTCTTCTCAAAGGTAAGGGCCAACCGCCTTCCAACATCCCCTTGCCGGATTTTAGCAGCATAAAGTGTTCAAACAAGTCTTTGTCGGCTGACTCGGCCCCAAAGGCACCTTCTAGATCTTCTAAAGAGACTCCACGAAGGAGGCTTGGGAACATCACCGTCTGTTCCATCTTCTGGATGGCCGAGACATACTTCTCCATGGCTGCAGGTGAGACCATTTCTGGGAGTTGGAAGTCAGCTGGCATCTCGAAGTCTTCGCCGAGCTGGCAAGCCGGCAAGGAGCAAAGGGTAGACAAGGCTTCCAAGGGTGTGGAGGAGGAGCATTTATGAGCAAAGCTGGGGAGGAAAGCCAGACCCCGTTGGCGTGATCGGGACGGGTTCCATCAAAAAGGACACACCTCGTTTCTCAACCAATCTGATCTTTCTCCTCATGGCCCTTACTCTACTCTTGGCAATGTGGGCTTATTGACACCTTGCCAGGCTTTCAAATTGGGCCTCTTCCAAAGGTTTGACACCCGCAGAGGAGGTGTGGGCCATGGATGACAGCTGCTGAGTCATTCTGGGCAGCTCAGCTGGGCTGATTGGAAAAACGCCCAGTGGAAAAATTTATGCCAAAGCTGAAGAAACACCAAAGGACTTTCACATACATGGAGAGACTCCAAAAAGATACAGGAATCACGCATGGTACAGGTGGACCTCAACTCTCATGGGGATAAGAATATGTGATGGAGCTAAGAATAATAGGCTGGATTGCAAATCTGCCAATGGCTCCTAAATACAGATAGATACACCTTACATTCTCTCTTGTTTTTAAAATATATATATATATATTTATTTTTAATATAGTCGTTCCATCTTCAGTTGAACAGTGTGTTTGTCTGGGTGCAAATATCTTTGTTAAACAATAATCAAAATTGCAACATCCTTCCTTTCATTCAGGGGTGGGATTCAGCCGGTTTGGGGGATAACAGATAACAGATAATCAGAGTTGGAAGGGACCTTGTAGGTTATCTAGTCCAACCCCCCACCAAAGCGGAAGACCCTACACTATTTCTGACAAATGGTAGTCCAATCTCTTCTTGAAAGTCTCAAGTGATGGCGCTCCCACAATTTCTGAAGGCAGCTTCTGTTCTATTGGTTGATTGTTCTCTCACTGTCAGAAAGTTTCTCCTTATTTCCAGGTTGAATCTTTCCTTGTTCAGTTTTCATCCATTATTCCTTGTCTGGCCTTCAGGTGCTTTAGAAAATAGCTTGACCCCTTCCTCCTCTCTGTGGCAGCCCCCAAATATTGGAAGACTGCTCTCCTGTCTCCCCTGGACCTTCTCTTCCCTAGACTAGCCAGGCCCAGTTCCTGCAACCGTTCATCATATATTTTAGCCTCCAGTCCCTTAATCATCTGGGTTGCTCTTCTCTGTACTTTTTCTAGAGTCTTAACATCTTTTTTATAATGTGGT